CTGTAGAAAATTCTATTCTGTAGTGCTCTATGCTTCATGGTCGGCGTTATTTATCGTGCCATTCCTGTGATTGATCTGACATGCAAATGATCTGGCATGATATTTCGCAGCCTATGCATGATGAACCATGGGTTTTTGAAAATATTGAAATATATAAATGTTATTTAATGAGTCCTTACACTATGAATAGTTGGCGTCAGTTTATACACTAATTGAAAAATAAATGGACCTTGATATGAGATTCAACCCTTTTTAACTGACAGCTATCTTTGAGATCGATTGCGATTCAACCTAATATCTGTTTAGTGTGCCAAAGTAAAAATTACCTACACACCCATTCTTTAGAAAAAAACCTCTCAAGAATGCTGGCATCGTCTTAAAATGCAACTATGTCATACATACTCGTTCACCCTCTTACGCCATACTTGATCTGCACTCATTATTGATTTTCAGTTCTTGTCAAATCTGGAAATAGATCCCAGTAGGTAATTTGCACGAAATTCACCCATTAATATTACCTATTTGCCTTGAAGACTTCCTCCTGATTTGGACCAATGATCGAAAAGATAACGGAAGGTACTTCACGTTCACCAAAAGTTGTCTTTACGCTCCAGAAATTGGGATTTTCATTTTTCATGAGGATCATCTCCTCGCCCTTTCGAATAGCAAAATCAGGACCCGAGAAGCTGATGAGAGCCTTCACCATGACAATATCTTGAGCCATCTCGGGGGACTTATCCACCGTTCGACCACAGACCACTCGTGCTAGTCGATTTTGAACTGGCTTCAGATGGCGCGCCATTTCAGTGAGTTGGCACGTCTGTTCCCAAGTACGAGCCAGTTCGACATGATCGCCCTAATGATTATAAAATCGAAATTAGTCGATTTTATGATCATAGTACTAAGTGTCTAGTTATTGGCACACTAGAGGTGACATACATCAAGCTCTTTTGCCAGTAGAACCGCTTCGTCGACTGTGCCTTGAGGATCGAATAGCAGCATTTTCATTTCCGCCAATCCGATCATTTTGTCAATGTGCGCATCGACCTCATTGGCCATATGGTGAAACTAGTCGCAAAAATGAAATAGGGAATATAGTGGCAATAAGCATAACAACATTGAAAGTCCCAAAATGACAAATTGACTGACCTGCTGATAGGATGCGGCATCTTTTAAATGCGCCTGGGTAATAGCAAAGAGTTGGGCAATATACTCCCAACAATTGTTGACATTCTCTGTCAAGGCCTGAAGTGAGAACAAAAAAATGGAATCAAAATCATAGGAAAGTAAGTTAAGAATGGAAAAGTCGGTGACCTTGACCCACTTTATTTGCAAAAACAGCTGGAGTAGCAGCGTTTGGTGAACTTGCTGCAATAGCCGCTTGAGTCACCTTGTTTGTCAGTTCCTAAAAGGAGGTAAAATAACTTATTTATTTGAAATATGCCAACGCCAATAATATAAATAATAATAAATTACCAATAACTGATGAAAAGAGAATAAATAATTATTTGTGTGTTTTCTCTTGCATATTTTAAAGAAAATAAAGCAACGCAATTAATTAAAAGATCGAAGTATTTCACTTTAATTGTTTTGTGTCAGTGCCACAACTATAATAACCCCCCCCCCCCCCCCACGTCAAAGTCCTACCCATACAACCGACATGATTTTATTAATAGAGTATAGTTTAACATTTTTGAAAATTTGCTGAGTGCGCAATCTTAACGTGACCTTATCCAAACATTATGAGAGGGAGGGGTGTGGGATAGACTTACCCTCTCGTTATGCACCCTGGGCAACGTATACTCATACGGCAAAAAAGTCGATTAACGGACAGTTTACTTCTGACCTCAAACAACCATCACCCCCGCTGTATGTCATATTCGACCCCTACCACAGTGTTCATCTCACCCTTTCTAAGCCTTTGTGCCTGTCTGTCTCATTTACATCTGTGAATCATCCTTCTATTCCCCCTCCCGAATTCTTCTCACTTTGATGTAACTCCACCCCTCTGTGAAGCCCGAAGTCAACTAAAGGGCTAATGATAAATATCAAAACGCCTGCCATTTGTTATAAATAAATAAATTAACATTCTGGGGGGTTTGAAGACGTGCGTGAAGAATAATTCTTGTCTAATCAGCTATTAAAGTTCATTCCATCTATGTTAAATGCATTCAATTACTAATCATGTTCGCTATGAGCTTTTTTTGCAAACGCCATACTCGCTCCAAGTCTCCTTCTTAAATCTCATGGAGAAAGCCGA